TTCTCCGCGCACGGGGGAAACGAAGCGGGGATGAAAACACACCCTCAGGAGCACGGATCGCGCGCATGCGCGCGCGTCACGCTATTTGGGTCACGCGGCGCGGCGCGCGATTTATTCGACTCCGGCTCGAGGTTCTCGAGACTCTCGAGAGTACGGTTCGCGACTTGGACTTGGATCTTGGGTTGCCGACGATGATCCGGGTGCACGAGTACTTCCGTGTCCTGGACGCCGGTCATGTAACTTCGAACAGAATTTATCATTTTCTGTTCATTCTGATTAATCACACAACGAATACAGGTCGATTAATCCGGGAATGATCACCTGAAGTATTTTTATACATCCCAGCTGCGAAAAAATGTGAATTATTGTAAAATATTGTTTTCTCTATCTATTATAGAAATTTAATATTGAAAAATAATGATTAATCACTTACTAAAAGCATTGTTCAGAGTTTTTAATACTCAGAATAAATAATTTCCAGTATTAAACTGGATTTTTATAAGCGATATTTTATATATTTTCCTTTTTTTAATAACTACTCTTTGCGAACTTTTAAATATGTAATTCCATCGAAAACCCGCAATGGAAAAGCGTTATATTCATTAAAGTTTTTTAAAGTCTTTATTTTTTATACTGTCGTAATAAATTATTTAACGTGCATATTTCCGTTTAACATTAGTTCCTAGTTACTAATTTTTAGGAAACCAATTAAATTCACATCCATGATAATATTCTCAAATACTAATAAATCGGAAAATAAGTCGAATATATCGATAATGTACAATATGTTATTAAGAATATTGATTTTAATTGGAGTATAAAAACACTTTAGATAATCGTAAAAAAAAATTAGGTGACTATTCCCGGGTTTAATGTACCGATGACGCAACTGTCGCATCATTTACTACTACAAGAAGCCACTGACGCGATGTCATTAATATATTACTATATGTTAAGCTTTGTTATTCATTGGCTTCTATTATATAAGAACGCCATTGTTTGGCTATTAAGAGAAGTTAGGTGCTCTTATATCAGCGGTTTTTTGTTTTTACTTTAAAATACGTTAAACTAAATTGTATAAGCAAAATCCATTAATGACTTCCAATGAACTTGTCATTGAAAATGTTGTTGGCAATAAAAATATCAAAGAGTTACATGAACGTGTGAAATTGAGTTTGAGTTTTTCACATTTTTTTTTTAGGAAAAAATTACATAATTACTCTACCCTGATCAGTTTTCCTAAATCCCTTTTTTCGAATGGATATAATGACGAAAAGTTCATTCAAAGGAGAGGATATTTTGTTTAGTTTAGAGAAAATAACAGTTTTTATATTTGGGAAAAAACGATGAGCAAAAAATCGTTTCTTATTTGCAAAAACTCAAACGAGTAAAAAAATTTTAAGGTTTTTTTTAAGTAACGATATTCGCAGCCTAATCTTATATTTAAGATTGTCTTAAATATGATCTCGAAATACAATTGACTGAATGAAGTATTAAGATCATTTCAGATTGTGAGATCAGACTTCGACCGGTTTTCTAGCGAAAGTAAAAGAGTATCTACAGTAGAGCAGTAAGCCTTAAGTCGTAAAAAATTGGTCAATCATATTTGATTATTCTCCTCACACTCGACAGTGATTAATCAATTTCTTACGGTTTGTTCTATTATAGACACCGCGTGTCAGTCGAATGTAAGGGAAGAGATTAAGATGATGTTAAAATAAAAACAAACTGAATGAATACTCTAATAAAAATAAAAATTAAAGTTAAATATAAAGGGGAAATAACAGAATCGTAAACAAAGCTTCTAGGAAACAAAATTGAGACAATGAAATGTAAAAAAGAGCGTAAACACTTCGTTTACATTCTATTGTCTCAATTTTCGTTTCCTAAAAGCATCGTTTACGCTTTTGTTACTTCCCCTTTATATTTGACTTACACTTTAATTTTTATTTTTACTACAGTATTCCGGTCATATTTTAAAATCATCTTAAGTAACGACTCAAGATGCTAACACGATTCTGTGATTGACTTACATCTCTTAAGATGTCATAAATCACAGAACTGTATTAACATCTTAAGAAATTAAGACTATACTTAAAACAATCTTAAATATCATGTTTAACTATTAGTATCAATCTTAAAAATAAGACCAGATTACTATCCTAAACAAAATAGTTAAATTAATAGCGCAAATGGTGAAACAATTTACTTTGCAATGTCGCTACGTCTTCAGTAAATGCACAACTATCTGTTGTAACTTTATGTTTAAATGATGTATTATAGATTTATAAATGGAGGCATGATTTATGATTTTTACCAATAACAAGCAATTCCAAATTTTGTAGTAGCATTCACGATACTTGCCAGGATCTCCTCAATTCTCCAAAAAGAATCCCACATCGGATCCTCTTCTAATTTTTGAGAATGAATACCGGTACGTCTCAAGCTGATCATCTTCAATATTGGAAGAATATTGGTGTGTGTGCAAACAATTGATTACAATAAGGCGCGAGACGTTCGATGGAAGTGTTATTGCGAAACGCATCCTTTGCCTAGAATGGCCTAGATTCTCAAAAGATCTCGAAGAGATATTGCGAGAGTCTGATCGCGCGTCGATCTTCTTCACTGTCCACGACAACGATGTTCCGCCGATCGACCGGATCGCCAATTTTGCGCTTTCTCTGTCTCCACCCTCGACTTTATTCCGCGCGCGAAAGCCACCACCTGCTGGCACAGTTACGTGCTACGACGTTTTTACCTTAAAGCAACGTTGAATACACGCTCGAGCATGCGCCCCTGGAAATGGGTCATTAGGAGCTTGACCGAAATCTTCGGCCAGGATTTCGCGCTAGTTCCTTAAACTCACCGATCGTTAATCAACGAGAAACGGCGCGTGACTTGCGCGTTTTGCACAGTGTTGGAAGACAATCCTCGCGATCCTTTTCGTCAAATAAAAGGTCGACTTAAAATTACTTTCGCATTTACTCTAAATAACGAAAGAAATAATCGTTTGACAATTACTATGGAAAAAAAATTAAATATTTTATACAAATTTTTGTTAAGATAACATTTAAAATTTTTATATATATTTATACATAAATAATACTTTTATCAAATCTCTTCTATTGCAATAAATAATTAATTATATGATTTATATATACCACAAATTTTTTTTTAAATCCTTGCTGAATACATATAGAATTATAAACATTTTAATACATTTTTATACATTTGCACGCATTTTAAAGTTTATTTTAAGTGCATGCTTCTTGTCAAAATATCTTATCTAAACATTTTATAATATAATAATAATAATAATAATATACTAGGTGATTTTTAAATATTTCAAAAGATGTTGAAGGATAATTTCTCACATTAATTTTCAAGATAAAAACTTCATATAACTATATGCTCGAAATAGTTTATTATTATAATTTCAAAAATACAAATAGTATCAGAATTGAAAGAAAAATTTTATTTTCATAAAATTTTAAACTTCTCAGGTTATTTTAATGAAACTTTCATATTTTTAAAACATACATAAAGTTTCATCAAAATAACTCGAATAATTTCCGAAATTTTTTGATAAAAAATTTTATTTTCAACTTTGGCTGCGTTCTGTTGCACGCATAACGTGCACGATGATTTTACTATTCTTGTCCACAGAATATTAAAATAATACATCATGCACATTATACATGCAACGAAACACAGTCTTTGATATTCTGTGTCTTCGAATATAATAATAAACCGTTTCGGATATGTAGTCATATATATAGCCATATGAAGTTTTGTCTTAAATTTAAAAAATATAAGGAATCACCTTCTTAAAATCTTAATCTATTTAATGATTAGAATACATATATACATGTATACATGTATCTAAATGTACATATAATAAAATACTGTATTTCTTTACATATATTATTGTGAGAAATTAATTGTTATTAAATTATTACCGAATAATCAATAATTATGATAGGTAAATATGAAATATGGTCGCCTCTGCGAAAATATTTAATATACCTCAATATGCATGCAACTAATTTGTGCATTAAGTATTTATGAATCTCTGTATATATACACACATGTGCGTACGCGCGCGCGCGCGCGCGCACACACACACACACACACACACACACACACACACTAAGAGGTTCAGTCTGCTTAACACGACATACTGTCTACTGTTGTTGAAATTATGCTAATGTCAATTATGTACAATTGCAATATTCAGTTTATCTAGATCATATTACTTGGAAAGCGTAGGCTATCATTTATGAAATACGCATTGCGAATGGATGTCCCGGTTTTGTGTCCCGTTTATCACTAATATTATCAAGCAGTTGCATAATATAAGAAAAAGAAAAGTAATTTAACAATTGATAAATAATGAATTGTAATGTTTTTATTATTTTTATATAATCATATATTTCATTTTGCTTCTATAACACAGCACAAAAATATTACTCTATTTGATATAATATTATATTAATATTATGCGGATAAATTAATTGTTGAGAAAGTACGTTGTGTATTCCTTTTCCGATCTTTTTGATCGTCGTTTGTTGAATTTTCAACATCAACTAGGGAGTTATAATGGTTTCAAGTTAAGAAAAAGAATGATTTGGAACACACAGACGGTGCAACACGTTTGTTTAGTCTCGGCATGCAGCTACAAAGTTTAAGTTACTTGCTTGAAAATCTCTCCTCAACTTGAGTTAGTTATTTATAAATGTTTAATTATTAATTCTCATATAGAATGAAAATTCGATTTATTAGCTTATTCATTACATTACTTGAATTATTCGGATTACATTATTTATTTCACAATTTCATTTCTATTAGAAATGAGTTAAATAGGATTTACATAACGTAAAGAAACATATTTAAATAAATATATCCTACTGGAAGAAAAGATTTTTATAGTTACATAAAATATTTTTCCTCATTTTATTTCTTTATTACATGCAAACGAAATTACTTATAGTAACGAATTACTTTAAAAAAATCATACGCTGTAAGTGCTGATCTCGTAGTTGAAATAAAATTATTTTTAACTATTTTATTTAACAATTATCTATCTTTTTATTGCCAGAATGAGGACCAATTTTTGATAGAGAATATATTTATCATTGTTATATGTAAAATTGTAATTGTTATAAAAATGTTCGCAATCCATTTATATGAATTTATCCTGTTGGATACAGTCGTTGATCCAAATCAAATAGGAAGAAACTCGCGTGAATACATCTGGTTGATTCTTAGCGCAAGGTATTCCCCAGGACACTACACCTATCTGCTCATTGTCGGCCACCAGAGGACCACCAGAATCACCCTACATACATATGAAGAATATAACAAATTTTTTTGGTAAATGCTATTCTGACTTCTGATTTTTAACGAATATTAATTATAATTGCAATTTATACTGCATACATATATCTGTATTGTGTATAATTAAAAACGATTATTGTGATTAAATTAATATTCGATGTATATGTTATATTTAAAACATATTATCTTTAAAAAATATATATTATGTATAATATATATAATGTATATAATAAATATATATAATGTATATATAATAATACATATAAATATATATAATTTAAAAATATATATAATACATTGTTTCTATATTTTAAAATATATACTGTTTCTGTAATGAAAATAATTTAGAATTTTTCAATTTAAAAATTCTTCAATTACAATTTTCAATTAAGCATTTAATATATCGTGCTAAATGCTATCGATATATATAAATTGTATTTATAAAAATGTACGATAAATATATATCATGCTTCTCGTAACGAAAAGGCTCTCTTCCTAAGTACTCAATCAGATTAGAATTTACTTACGTGACAGGCGCCTTCGCCCCATGTGTTGAGTGTGCAGATATTATTTTTGGTGATGCGATAGCTGCTAGCTACGCACTTCTTTTGATTGATGACCCTGAGCTGGATATATTGTAAATCGTTCGGTGTCTTTCCCGGATACTGTAATAACCCACACATAAATAATTATTTAAATTAATTTGAAAAATAATTATTTAAATAATAATTCGAATTACTAAATAATCATTTTAATTCACTTTATTATTTAATTAACAAGGAATGTTTCAAATGTATAGAAAACGGACAATCTTGATCTTATTATTATTTATATGTACCATATATAATGTATATGCATGTATTGTATTTATTATAATTTATAAATATGCAAAGCTAAAATTTTTATGTTTCTCAACATAATAGACAAATAAATAAGTATTTTATATTTACATTAGTAGTACCCCAGCCCGACAATGTAGCCGGATAATCGGATTTATCAAAGTTTTTGGTGGACAAAGCAATTGGTTTTACTTTGTCTCCAAAAACGATATCTTTGTTCACTTTAATTAATGCGATGTCATGCCAGATGAGGATGGAATTATAGTAAGGATGTACCCATTTCTTGATCGAGAAGTACTGATCACCACCTTTGTCTAGAGTATTTGTGCCCAATACAACCGTGATAACCGCGTTATCAAGACTATAAACAAAGATTATAAAATTATATATAATAATTAGCCGTATATAATAATTCTGTCAAACAATTATCTCTTACCGTAATATTATAATTAGGCATAATTATATTATAATATAAAAAGAATTGAAGCTTATTTATTTTTTAGGAGATATGATAATATTAATCAAAATTAATTACATATATTATTATTAATTACATATTGTTTTTAATATAAAATAAATTTAAACACGTAATTAATTATACATGTGTTAGGAAAGTGTCTTGTTTAATTGTTAATACAAATATATTATTATATGTAAAATAATCTATTCTAAGAACAGTTATCACATATACCCTGACATGCAATGAGCAGCTGTAAGGATGTGTCTTTTACTTATCACGGAACCTCCACAGAAGTGATTATTGTTTAAACGAAGAGATGCTTGATAAGGAAATTGTCCTTCATTGGCAAGTTTGCCGCCCACGATTTTTGGGATTTGTTGAACTGACTCGTCGGCTACGTAATTATAAAAAAACTTTTCATATAAAAAGACTTCGTAATATCTTACTATTTACTTAAAATAGAATTATGTTCAATATTAATTTATATCAAAATTTTCGACTGCTTTTCATGTTTTTATTATTATTGTTTAATTTAATAAATTGAAAAAAGATTCTAATGTGCAAATTGCATCACACACAAATGCAATAAATTATTAATAATCGCGATAATAAATTGCAATAAATAACAAAAAATAACAATATGTAAAATAAACTTTTAATTTTATTTAATACATTTAAGATTTAAATATAGATTTAATTTATATGTAATTTAATAAAACAAAGGATGCATCCGGCTAATATTTAGTTTCCGGCAATATATATGGCCGAAATTTTATATTGAAATTATGTGCATCATGGTGTAAATATCCTAAAAACTTTTATCGCTGATATATTTTTTTAGAAATATATCAGTCATAATAAAAGTTTTGACTGATATATTTCTAAAAAAATATATCAATGATAATAAAAGTTTTTAGGATATTTACACATCATTTTAATATAAAATTTCGGATGCATGTGTATTGCCAAAAACCACAAATGCTAGCCAGATATCCGATGCATCTCTAAATAAAATTATTTTCAACGAAAATGGATCTTGAATTTTTCAACAATTTATTACAAATTTATGATCCAAAAAGAAGAGATCCTGCATACATTTTATTAGTTAATATTTTTTGAATATGCGTGTTAACATGTAAAAAAATTTCAATGTATAGAAATATATAGGAATCTTATAATATATTCTTACCTGACAATTCATGTATATTTGCAATAATACTTAAAATGTAGAGTAGCGATAACATTTTTAGCAGACAATAAAATTAATCAGTAGAACTTTACTTTGTTTTCTATAGCGTTTGATAATTTAATACCAATTAATTTTTACACTCGTTTACCACCAGCTCTTATATACGCAGTAAACGATGATAATTAAGGAAATGTTGGACATTTAAATTTAGGTCAGACACCGGGCATAAAAAGAAAATACATTGTCCGGATGTATCTCATGCGCGATGCGATAGGTAAAATGATATGTTGTCGTGCCAGTAGCTACGAAAATTTATGACCGGATATAGTTGCTATCGTTGCTGTATAAAAATGCGTACTGCTAAAATATATAAATTGCAATTTAAACTTGATTTGGACTATTAGGCAATGGAGATGGTAATAAATCAATAATCAATGACGATGGCAATAATCAATAATTAATGATAATATATGTAATATAAAGTCTAAATATATTGAATTATTAAAATTTATTTAGATAATTTACTTACTGATACATTATATTTTTATGAGTTTAATAATGAAATAAGTAAAAGCATCATTTGTATATACCTATTCTTTTCGCATATATTTATATTTTATTATTGTGATTTTATGCATTCAGAATTATTTGTAAAAAAACTGAAATTATTTTATTTAAAACATATTTTTCCTTTAAGTGTTATTTTATCATTGTCATTCAAATATTTTCAAAGAACACAACTTAAGACAAAATACAATTACATAATTAACGATACAATTATTGTAATTATTATAACGGTGTAATTATTGCTACAAAAAATACTAATTATTACAAAATTTAGAAAAACGTAATTTAATAACGTAATTTAATATAAATAATAAATTTATTAAAGAAACTTTTGTGATACATATATACGTGTTTAAATTCTCAATGAGAAATAACTTGAATCGATGTCGAATCGATATCGAATTGTCGTCAGGATCATCGATATCGATTCGACGTCTAATTAACTATCGATTATTTTTCATCGTGTCATGCGTACTTCCACTTAATATAAAATATATACTTAATATTAATTAATATAAAAAATATACATTATATAAATTAATTTATATGAAATACATTATAAAAATGAAATATATTGGCGATATTTTTAAAGATTACGTTTTGCATGTTTGTATAAAGAAAATTTGAGCAATGACTTTATTCCGTATTGCGAATTTGTCGCAAGCAAAATGTGTTATATTCCGCGATAATTTTATATTTCGCAATATCACGTCATTAGTTATTCAATTTCACGGCAAGCGATATGCGCCAGAGATATTTATAAAATTCACTTCAACCTCACACTTATCTCCTAATACATTTGCCAAGTCTGGTGATTCGATAACGCGTGTGTTTCTTTGATATGCTACTATTCTGACGCATTTTCTTAAAAATTCAATGAATTACTTAAGTCGGAAAAAACACGAAAAAAAATAAAACAAAATAATAAGAAGATAAATAGAAAATTAATTTAAAAATAATATCAAAAAATCTTATTTTATCCGTACGAATACCTTTCGAATATTTTTATATTTTAATTAATAAAAAAAAAATGAAAGTTTATTTTTTAAATAAACTTTCATTTGTTTACGATTTAAATAAGTATGAATTTAAATACATATACGTCATATAGTATATACAACCGTTTATCTTCTTTTATATTCGTTTATCTTACTGTCTCCATTACACTTATTACTTTATTGACCTTTAGACAAAAGATTGAAAGTTACAATCCTCTTTCGTGAAAAATGTAAATGCCTATGAATACTTAACTAACATATAATTATACAAGGAACTTCGGAGGTAGGTCGCAGAATTAACAGACACAATAATGTTGCATTTTAAGTTTTTTTTTTTATTAAAATAAATCGAAAATAACGCGAATTGCGACGTTGCATTATCAAAGAGTCAAAGCCTACATATCGCGCTGAAACTGAAACATTCGCACCAATATTCGACATATTGTTATTCCAAGCACGAAGTTTTGCGTTTGATTTCGACTTCGACGTTGACCCATGCACGGTGTTTTGCAACGCTCGTAATCACGCCTAAACGAAGTCCGTATAAAATATGCAAATATAGATACTCACAACCAGAAATTAGAAATAAAGACGACACCGTTTCGCTTATGTTATAATAATGAAAATAAATAAAAATAAAAAAGCTCATAGCAGAGCCTTTATCATGTGCTATATTGACTGCGTTCGGTTTGAACATTCACGTATTGTAAATTTCATCTTATCTTCTTTCCGCAAGTAATATGATAAAGATAGAATAAAACTTACAGCGTGTCAGTACCCAAACTAAATACAGCCATTGTTCTCCTTTTTTTCTTTTTTCTCTTAAACAATGTAAGCAATCTTAGTGAATATTTTGCAAATACAAAAGCTACATTATTTCGATTTATTACCTGTAGACTCCCTTGTCCATAGGTAACAAATGTTTTTTAAGTATCTATAAAAAGTAAAATTGTAACTTCCGCATAGATGTCCAGTATCACGCAATCCGCAATAGATAGTTTTCATGATATATATAGGATGTCTTACTCAAAATACTATAGCAAGGTTTTTGAAAAATTAAAGTAAAAAAATTTACAAATAACTTTTTTAGTCAATTATAGATTACGTTTAGATGGTCATCTATTCACGAGTCGCGTGTGGAGTATTAATGAGCACTGATAAGCGCGCATTTCAGCGCGCTCACTAAAGGACTGCGAACAATCAAAGGAATAGGCAACAAGAAGAGAGCAAAGAATGTTAACTTATCAGAAACTGTGTATGCCACAGTATATGGTTTCTAATAGGTTAAAATTCTTATTCTTTATTCCCTCTTCCTTTGATTGTGCGCAGTCTCTAATACTTCATCTAAATGTAGTTCATAACTGGCTATATTTAAACTCTTGTACCTCAGAAACTATTGCTTAAAATAAAAATTTATAAATAACTTTTTTATTTAATTTTTTGAAAAAACTTCCTTGCTGTAATATTTTGAGTCGCAAATTTTAATAATACCCTGTGTGTATGCACGCGCGCGCACATACACCACACACACGCACGCACGCACGCACGCACACACACACACACATTTATGCCATGTGCGCGCACGTGCGCGTATTATATATTATACACACAATAATCACCGTATGCCACACACATATTAAGAAATGGCATTCAAATTTTATGATTGTCTAGTATATCTGTCTTTCGAATAATTACATATATATTTAAATACGTCTCAATGAAAGAAGCTCCACGCCAATGGCTATTGGCGGGAATAACCGAGTATTTCTTTTATGCGATATTTACCACTCGATGTTCAACGTATATATTACACAAGCAGAGATCGAAAGCAATATTTTATAAATTGTGAATTCGAAGGTCTGTTCTTTTTCGAAGAATTCTGAACTAGTTCTGAACTAATGCAATATGTTAGAATGAAACAAACTATACCTGTTTTACTCTAATTTATTGTACCAGTTTAGAACTTGAGGTGGAAAAAGAATAAACCATAGATTTCGATGCTACGGATATACATGAAGATCTCTATCTTTTATTTATAACAATGAAAATGCGACAACCAACATAAGATCCCCTTTTGCATGTCTGTAGCAAGGAAAATTAAATTCACGAAATTATATCATTTTCGATCCTTGATTTAACAGTACTAAAAATAGAATTTTCTTTTCAAAACATTAAATTATATTAATTACTTATCTATCCAGGATTACAACATCGAATGTCAGCACCTTATTTCACTTACGTACAGAATAATAAACGTATACTTATTTAATAACTGAACTTACTATATAGTAAGGTAAATATAATCTTTTCATTAATTTTATTCAATTAAAAACAGATTGGTCTTAATATATATATTTTATCCTTAAAAAAATATACGTTACAGTAAATGAATACAGTTCATGTTGCATCATAGTAAAGACCACAGCATCGATAACAAATATACTGTAACTGCAAAATTAAAACTTTAAGACGATTGTCTTCCTGAAAATTTTTCGTTTATCAATTGTAATCAAACTAAATTATATTGTGATTAACTAAACACATTTTTTTAATGTCACTAATAAACTAATATGAAAAATAATTATAAAATATCGTTAGTGTACTTTTCATTGTTGCTGTCAAAAATAATTAAAAATAATATGGACTGTATAATGGATCAATATAAAACTATGATCTTTCTTTAGTCGCATTATGCTATATAAAACTGGGACAATATATTAAATGCAATTGAAGACAGATATATACATATGTATACATACACACATACGCACATACACATACATATACACACACAAAATATTCCGTTACGCAAAATTTGCAAATGCACCCTGAAGAATTAAAATGTATGTGGTACAAAGGCACAGAAGAAAAACTTATGCAGGATAATTCTTATTCTAGAATTCTTGGTTGTACATGACATTAATTTAGAGCACAACAAAATAAAAAAAATATATATATATGTCACATGTAAACATTGATTGATTACATTCTTTAACAAAAAAAAGATTTCCTTTTAAATATTGGGACAAGACTAATCATCTTTTATCATTTTTTGGTTGCTGAATACGAATACGTTTTCCAAATTGTTCTATCGCATTACAATTCTTTGAGAAATTTGATATTCAATTTGCAAGAAAAATTTTGTTGTAAGGGGTATTTTGCATTACAACTAGAATGTATGATATACTGAAAAAGTTTTATTGCAATAAAAATTATCCAATATTAACGATGTAATTAAATAATTTTTTTGGCTTGTAGCCCTTTTTCTTTCTCATTTTAAAATTAAGTATATGTTAGGATTTTCAGCTCTCAAAAAGATTTTTAGTCGGCTGTGGTTAATATTTATAATTGTTAAATACAAGGTCTATTGTAGAAAAACCGTAAATTAAGTCAACTATATTTATTTAAACATATAAGTGTTTTTATCATTGAATACGAATCTGTGTTTCATTAAATATGAACTTGTGTTAACATTAACGAATTCAAAATAACAGATTCAATACAGCAGATCAAAATTAAAAAATGTTTAAATTGTTACAAAATGTATAGATATCTTTCAATTCGTCAATTTTTTGAATTCGTCAATTTTTACATCGGATTCGTCTACAACGGTCTAAAAAATCATTACATTTAACTAACCATAATTGAAACGTAATAGTAAATTGTCAACGACTGGTTCATTTTTCCACAATAGACTCCATATTTAATATAATTTTTGAATATCTTATTACCCATAACTGAAAATCTTTTTAGTTGAGAATCCTAATATGCTTAATTTTGATTGCAATACAATTTTTCCAGTACGTCATACATTATAATATGACAAAATGTGTAAAAGCTTTTTTTTTTATAAATTTCTTCAAATTGTGATAGCAATTATATTAGTGATGAAGCAATTTGGAAAATGCACTCATATTCAGCATCCAAAAATTATGAGAAATGTCTGATTCCGTTCTGATGTTTTTTTTTCAAGCAATGTTATTTAAGTTATTTTCCAAATCATAACATTTTAAAGAAAATATTGCAAATATAAGTTTATTTTTTATACGATATATTCAGATTCAAATTAATATTTATTGATATTGTTCGTATCCCTTCCGCTTTTAATGAAACAAAACACTAGATGCATTCCCTATAATAAATGTATATGAAGAGAGAGACACTGTAAATCTTTTTAACTTGTATGTATTTCAATTTGTGTAATAATTTAGAAAAAAGACTGTATGGGATAATTTGTCACATATAACATGTTTTATACTCTAGAATTTGGCATCCAAAATAGTAAAAATTAAGAACCATATCCTGCATAATACTATATGGTGCTGTCATTTAATGTTGTCAATTCAAGTGCATATGTGAAAACGCGACATTCAATACTAGGTCACACAGTTCCGTCACTTATTAGCTATGAAGTATTTAAGTATATTATTTGGTTTTGGTTTGCTGGTTGTGGGCCAAGAACGAGAGACCTCTCTCCTCTCAATGGACAGAGTTTTGAAGACTGTAGTATCCACCGTAGGTGATAATTGCATTGGTGATGAAGGACTCAATTTCAAACCAGCCATTTCATTACTTGGTGATTCTCGAGGACCTCTCAGCCATACTTCCAGCTTGGTTTTCTTCGGTAGTGGTTCTACCTCGTTTTGTAAATCATCTTCCGTGTTCTGACTTGCCATGCATAATTTTGAGATTGGTGAGCACGAAAGACTTGAAGTAGCAGTATTCACCAAGGTCATCGCTGATTGATCTGAGCTGTCATTGCTATCTTGATTAATACTCATTGGTGATCCCTGATTCATTTCAGAAATACCTTCTTCAGAGCTGATGTCTAAAACGGAATGGACGGCAACTTGTTTGCACAAAAAAGGTGCAATACTACTCCTGCCATATGATCTCTCCTCGAACTTCGTGAACGCAACTCCCAGAAGTGTTAAGTGGAATGACTTGGAGACGTCGACTATTCGATGGAATAGCTTCATGGCAAGTGTCAACATTTTATTATGATCGTATACGCCGTTTTTTGTGGATGGTAAAAGATGTTTCGGCAATGCGCATTGCCTAGTCTCTCTCTTACCTGAAGTGGGTTTGTTCAAATCATGTTTTCTCACTGTTATTCTCATAGCAATAGGAATTCTACCATCTTCCATTGCTAATTCTGTTAATCTTCTTAATAGTGCACCTAATCGTGACTCTACTTCGGCTACCAGCGACACACTTTTGAATCCGTCTTCCAGACCTATGGATTGTTTCTTTCCAGACGGTTTTACTGCTGTCTCATCAATTCCCTCTGCATTGTCTTTCAGTCGTCTTGCTAGATCAATGCCAATTTTTAGTTCCAGATTTTCTAAAGGTATTCGACGTATATCGTCAACTGTCCTTATATTGTTTGATAATAATAATTCTGTAGTCTTTTGTCCAACACCAGGTATCTTGGATACACAACCTATCGTCGAGAGCAATAATGGACCACTGCAAGGAAAGATTAATGTCTGTTGATTTGGTTTGTTTAACGATCCTGCTAATTTAGCTACAAGTTTATTGTGTGCTATTCCAGCACTGCACGTAAGATGTAATTCTTCGTAAATGCGGTTCCTTATGTCAGCTGCTATTTTCGAGCCAATAATCAAGCGTGTATGACAACCGCATGGACATTCCTCTTCAGAAGGACCAAATATCTTGCTTAGTTCTTTTAAATCTTCAAATTCTGTACTTGAGTTGCTCATATCAAGTTCTGTATCATTCTGAGATTTGAGCTGTTTTTCTACAATTGATGTCACATCAAGAAAATTATCGTCAAAGCCCAGTCTTTCCACTAATGGCGTAAACTGATGCAAAATTTCAGATATTTTAGTCGAATAATGACGATAATTTGTTAAATCTTCTCCATTTACCAAAGCTAGCTCTGGACACAAGCGCAAAGCTTCTTGCACTGACATACATTTTTTTATTCCATATTCTCTTGCCAGATAGTTGCTAGTAACCACTATATTTTTTTGCTGCACACCTAATGGCCTTCCCTCTAATTCAGGATGATTAATCATTTCCACTTGAGCATAGAAGCAATCAACATCCAAATGGATGATGGTTTTTGAATGGTGCATAATATCAAAATCTGCAGTATCCATAGATGTTTATTACAGAGCAGTACCTTTGTAAATGATAAAAACTGTACAAAATTCTCACGTTCCACTTTTCAGAACTTCTTAAACTGCATCTGCAATAGAGATATATATAATTAATGAATGATCTTAAAGCGTTTCAAATAAGAAACTGATAATTCTTATTTTCAAAAGAGTTTTTACATGAATTTGTAATGCACTTCAACTTCGCAGCAAGATGAAAATATTTCCAGATAACGGATCGAAGGCAATGAGGATATCAGTTGCGCGTGAGAAACAGAACCTGTGCTACTGTTAGTTCGTGTGAGAGTTTTCACTCCCGAAAATTGTTTGACACTTTCGGTGGATCTACGATCCAATCTCAAAGTATGAGGCACGTTTCTGTCAATCGGCGATTTGTGCAATCGACACCGCAAAACAAAGCTCTCATAACAAACAGATAGAAACTTGTTTACAGTAAATCAATTCATTTTCACATGGTAGCCATGTTTTTAAATTGTCATAGATACAGATGATGTATACAAGAAATTCCCGAATCTATGCAGACCTATGCGGACCTATCGAGATATAAGATGGTCGCATTCATCTCGTCATGAAAACTATCAACAGATAAGAAATATTACAGAGACCTCTCGTGGAGAATAGTAAACTTCATATTTGTCATTTTGTAAAAAATTTACTATGCATAATGAAAGAAATATAAGGGGCTTTGCACAATAAAAGAAACAGGGAACAGAGAACAGAGAATAATTTCAACCTATTAGAAATCATGTATTGTGGAATACACAGTTTCTGATAGGTTGAAATTCTTATTCTCTGTTCTCTGTTTCCTGATCCTTTTATTGTGCAAAGTCCCTAAGGGTGCGTTCACATCCCTTGACAGAAAGACAAAAAACAGAAAACTAGCAGCTAATCAAGGTGTTCTTCCATGTGGAACTGCGAAAACGTTCGTGATTGGTGAGGCTGGCGTCCCATGGATCGAAAATTTATAGTGGAACGGAACAACGCGACCAATACAACTCTGCAGTCATTAATCTGCTACTCTGCTTTCTTTTCTGCGATTGTAAGGCTGCTTTCACATGCAGCATAATTTGCATCAACTAATCAAATTGTATCAAATTGTATCAGCTACTACGCCTTAGGGGTTTCGTACAATAATAGGAACAAGGAACAGAGAATAAGAATTTTAACCTATCAGAAACTGTGTACTCCATAATACATGATTTCTGATAGGTTGAAATTCTTATTCTGTTTTCTGTTCCCTATTCTTTTTATTGTGCGGAGCCCCTTATTCTAGTTAAGATAATTTGATTGACTAATGCAAGTGATGCTGCATGTGAAAGTAGCCTAAGGGTGAAATCACACAATGCGGAATAGGAAATGCGTCATTGAAACAATCACTCAGCGCTATTCCGCATTGATGTTGTGGAACAACGGAGTGCGTCATTGTTCTTGTAATAAATCGTCGTATTTTAAGAGGTAAAATAATTTGATGCTGATTGATATGATGGAATTGCGTAATGTCGAGACGAATGAAGCAAAATGATAAAATCTGAGTGCATAAATATAGATACCAAGTTAAAAAAAACAAAGATGCATTAGGTGCGATTTCAGTGTGCACTTTTCCATTACGCCAGTTTTGTGTGCTATGTTCACATGCAGAAAAAATGATAGTAAATGCGTTAAAGCAGTTCAAAAAATTATCATGAAATTGTAAATATTAATTGTAAAATATTAAATACTACAACAGTGATAATTGTTTTTACAATTTGAAAAATTATATTTTATTTTAATAAGTAAATTATTAACATGAACTTAGTTTTTAAATTATATTCATGTTGGATACATCTTTAACGCAACATGTGAATATAAATAGCACACAAAACTTGCGTAATGAAAAAGTGAGGAATAGCGCTGATTGGTTGCTTTAATGACGCATTCTGTATTCCGCAGTCCTATTTCGGACTGTATGATTTCATCCGAAAGGCCTGACTTAGGCCGGAATCAGATTATACATTGAAGATTGAGATTAAAGATTAAAGATTGAAATTTTACCAATGAGAACAAAAAAATTTTGGCTCCTTTTATTCTGATTGGTCAAACTTCAATCTTTTAATCTTCAATCTTATTCTTCAATGTGTAATCTGATTCCGGGTTTAACAAAGTCAACTTATCGTTTGTGCTTAGAGTGCAATTAGTGCAAAACGCTTGTGATTGGTTCCTCTCGTTCAGAGAATACTATTCCGCTGCATAGGTAGGTACCTAAAAAATTTAAGAAAAGCGTAATGCCTATTGCACATTGGACGTGATAACGCTTGCCGCGCGGCAAATTTAGACGCGATAACTAATAAACATATTAGGAGTTGTAAGCTTATTGGCTGCCGCATCACATTTTGTCGTGCGACAAACGTTTTTGCGTCCAGTGTGCAAAAGCCATGAGGGTACGCGGTTTGCGACACGGACTAGTAATAAACTTACATTATTAACATTGCTATGCACTTTTTAATAAAATTAATTGATTTAAACGCAATTATTAAGTAAATCTGTTTAAAAAAATAAAAGTGTGTATCGATAAAGTGTGCATAAAAATAAGTTAATATATTTTAAAAAATTCATACTAATGTGAATTTATTACTATATAGCTGCAAACCGCGCTCTATGTAATAATGTATCAGCGAAAGAAATAGGCAGTACGTGATACGCGGTTTCTTAGTTGCTTAGTTAGTTACTACTAATTACTGTACCGCGCTCCATGTAATCGCATCCTAAGGGAACATTTATATTGGTCGTACAAGCACAATCTGCGCATTGTATAGTTCATAAAATCAGTACAGCTATTGCTAGGCTACGACCTCGTTATACATTCACTTCCCAAGTATCGAATAACAAATAAGGCAAAAACATTACGTTTTTATAATGTTGCTCGCTTTCCAAAGGTCGTTGGTTGCATAGATTGTGCACATGTACAGTCATTTGGTGAGTTATCATATATTATTTTAATTACTTTATTTATCTATAATATTTATTATTATATTATTATATTATTTATATTTTCCAACTTTGCAACATTTCTCTTTGTCTTTTGAGATTACCGAGTCAGATTTCTTATTTTCAAGAATGTCTTTATATTGTACTAAATTTATTAATATAATTTTCTTTGCTTCGGAAAAATTCTGAGCACATTTACGTTGTAATTTATTTGCCATCTTTCCTTTATTCATTATGTTACTTGATGCTTATTATAACACTACGACACACTACGAAGATAATAAGAAAAAATATATATTTTAAGCAATAAGATAGGAAACAAGACCGTTTATGTTAAACAAATTTAAAATCCGAAACGCCACTACACATATATTTTAAGGTTTGCGCCTCATTTCTATTAGAACAAACGCTAAACCAATCAATATTCGATATTCTAAAGCGGGGAGTAGATTCTTACATAATACATGACACATGAGGCATAAGAAGATGAACCAATCAAAGTCTCTTATTTCGTTCCTTTGTCACGTCAGCGGTACTTATAAAACTTGTCCAGGAATGTCCCTGGCCAAATTACAAATTTTTCTTTACTTCAATAACCGACGGGGCACTAGAACTGCAGGGACCGCCCCTGACATCTTCTCCCCACCTCACGCGCCCTACCAGCATGGAGGGGCACCTTTTTCCTGAAAGCGTTCGGGTTCTAAAAACGGGACTTGCTCTCGCGAGCAGCGAGTTTTGAGTAGTAGTTCAAAACTTCCCGGGGTCGGGTCTGGTCGAAGAGAAACGGTCTCTTCCAGAGTATCGCGATTTCTAGTTAAATTCCTAAATTCTACTCGCGTGAGCAATCCAATCTAATCATAGGTACATCTTATTTAATCTTCCTAGTTAACCGCGTCTAATTATTATAAATAGTTATAACATAAGTCTGGATATGTGTGTAGCAACTGCAGAAGTTATAAAATACACTAATTACTTTTGAGCAATTATAAGTACGTATATATATTAATATTTGACGAAACCTCTCCTTTTACAATAAACGCCGCCGCGCGTATACGTTTATCGTTTAACTTGGAGATCGTGTGTGTGAACGAGCGGAATCAGCGCCGGCCAATCATCGAGCACCTACAAGGAGCCTGACCAACCAGAGTCCAGACTGAGCCGCGCGTTCCGCACCACGGACCGAACCACCAGCAAGATTCATGAAGGTATTATCATAGGTTTCTTCTTAATCGAAAGGACGCGCAACTCTCGATTTGTTACCCGCCATTGGTCCCCAGTTTGTCCAGGTATCAATTACCAACAGTTGGACCTTGGGACGTAACACCTTTCCGTGAAATAAAGAAATCTGATTGGTTGATTTTCTTATGCCACATGTTTTATGCGTTATGCACAGAGTCTGTGCTCCTCCCGTTTTAAGTTTCCTAAAGTTATGTCGCACAAGTTATCAGTTTAGCTAAACATTCTAGATGAAGTGTTCGTAGAACCATTAAACTGATGGTATATTCGATACATATGCACTGACACGGTTCTAGTGTTGCTCTGACACGCAAATGCAAATGTAGAACTACACTGGATTGATGTGACCTGATACAGAATTAAGTTTAAGTTAAGAAACTAATAACGTATATTACAACTAATGATAGTAAACATAAATATTTTCATTATCAAAAGTATTTGTTTTTTATCATATATAATTATATATTTTCTTGTCCGACTATTCATTCACAATGTCCACATCATTTTTAACTTTTGGTCTATCTTCTTTTATTATACATAACTTTCTATTTCATCATCACTACTTGTTTCTAATAATTCATTTATAACAAATAATTTTATTCTTTCTTCATCCATCATTTTGTAATTTTTTGCTGCCTAACTAGTTTTATTTGTTTGAACATCAAACTGCACTGACAAAAATGTCAGTGGAACATTTCTTGAACTTGTTCAGTTCATTCGGTTAGTCCGAATATAAATTCAGCACTACACTGGGTCAGTTTTCATTCATCAAGTTGCCGAATACGGCAACTTGAACGCACTGATACAGTGCGCACAACCCGAATGCGTAGCACCGAAAAAGTTTGCACTCAGTGCGCACTAGTACAGTCTATCGATTGTGCCATGAGAATTAATCTTAACCAATGTTTCACTAAACTGCAGTTAAAATTAAAATTGGTAGAAATAAAAAACGGCCCTAAGAAAGAAAACGGAATGTCATCTTATGGTCGCCGTTTTGATCGGAAATTTACAGCGGAACGAAACAGCGAGATCAATCATAATTGCGGAAAAAGCAGAGTAATGACTGCAGAGTTATGATTGGTCGCGTTGTTCCGTTTCGCTGTAAATTTCCACTCATGAGACGGCGGCCTAAGACCAGGATCCCATCAGCGGAAATATAGCCAATTTCCACCGTGCGGTAAGCGTTGCCGCGTTCTATGCAGAAATATATCCCATATATCCCATTGAGCAAAATAAGCGGAAGCGAAACACGCGAAATAA